TGTGAAACATTTACCAGCTCCTGGCACCCCCTGGCTCCATTCCAATTTCAAATCAGGCGCCCTCGTGCACGTCTTACGGAAGGGCCCACAGAGGGGTGGGAGCGAGGCTCCCAGGGCAGCCAATGCATGGAGTCATTTTGAAATCATCCTGCCCTGGGATTCAGAGTCAACCAGGCTGCAGGCACAGCCTCGGTGGTGACTCTGAATGTCAATGGTGACCTTACTCAGGGTGGGGGAGTCTAGTTCCAATGTGTGGCAGTGATACAGTTTCCTTTTCAAACAAAATTTTCTAAAGTACAAAAAAGAATAATTGAAAAAAATAACACAAAGTAAATGATAATACAGATAATACAGGGTGGGGCATAAGTAGGTTTATGGTTGTGACTATGTGAAACAGTTTATTCTTGTATTATTTATTATTGCATTATTTTCCATAAGAACAACTGCAAACTCCTTTTGCCCCGCCCTGTACACAGAAGTGGCAGTCTGCAGTGGTGGTCCCCAATGCCGACACTTTGGGAAAGACCACTCAGTGATGGGGAACCAGGCTCTGAAGACATGCACCTGGACTCAAACTCAGACATCCCTGATGAACTCCGGCCTTTCCAGCTGACAGCCCCAGTGCCGCAGGCACAGACTCCTGAGGGTGCCTGTTAGGGCCCAGAGAGATCAAGGGCTGGGGGTTGGGCAGAAACTAGCCTGACTGACGGGGGAGGGGGGGGAAATGTGGGGAGGAGCCTGGGCCGGGCCTGCTCCCCAACCCAAGCCCGGCAACGCCCTCCACTTCCTCTGAAGGGAGTAGTAGATATTCACAACACACAGCACTTTCTTCGGTAATCACCCCGCCGCAGAAGCCAGCACCCTGCTGGCCATGACTCAGCATCCCCTAGGCTCTCTGCACCGGAGGGGCTGGTGCTGCCGGAGGCCAGGCCGCCACCCGGACAGAGATGAATAAACATCCCACTGCCAGTTGATTATATAAGGGTTGGGTGTTGGTTTTTTTTTTTACTTCCCTGGGCAGGGTGGGGAGACGTGGGGGGAAGCAGAAAGGGTACTTTTAGGGTAGGTAACATAAACTAGTAGCTACATCCAGTAAACACTGGTTGAAGAGTCCTCATCCCTCCGTATGGGCTCTACAGTGATCAAACAACTTGCGGTTTAAATAAAAAGGCCCTTCAAAATTTAAAATATAAAATATAATAAGAAAATAAAATCCCAGTGCGGCGGATGGGTAGAAGAGGGTATGGAGGGATAAATGGCGATGGAAGAAGACTTGATTGGGGTGGTGAACACGTGACGGGAGAGACTCCTGGAAACTCTGTTCTTCTCACCAGTGCAGTAAAGACGTAGAGATCAGCCAGTGCAGTAGCGCGCACGCAGGGTCTATTGGTGATCCGTTCTCATGGAAGGGAACGGGCCTAGTTAAGGCAGGGGTGGGGAGCCGAAAGGCATAGGCTCAGGGTGAAGCAGGGTCAGGGCGGCCAAAGGCTGACACGGCAAACAGAGGGGTGGCAGGGCTAGAGTAGCAGGCGCAAGCACCCAGGGAGCCCAGAACACAAAGCCCCCACACCTCGCCCGCTGCCCCCTCCCCTCCCCACAGTCCTTTGTCCTGAGGACTTACTGAGGTGGCTGGATGGGAGAGGGTGAAGAGGTTACATATTGACTGACAGGTAAAGGTGGTGCTAGTTTTCCCGGACTGGGGCCTGAACAATCAAAGCTACTAATGGGCTTCTTCCTTTAGGCGCTGTGGGCCCTTTTCAGCCTTCAGGCCCTGGGATGAAAGCACAGTTTCCCAGACTTTCTTTCCCAGATAGTGGAAAAGATACACAGAGTTTCAAGGACTGCTGAGTCAGTGGGCGGGACGTGTACCCCTCCTCCTCCCTGCCTCGGTCTGCTATCTGTCCTACCACAGACTCTGTGTCCCCTGATTGCCGTCCTCTCTGTTGGGCTGTTTTGCTGGCAGGAATGGAGTCGGTGACGTCCTCGGTGACGGGCAAGCAGCCACATTAATGGGCATCTGTTCAGGGAAGGCGCCGGCTGCCTGATCTCCCCACCCTTCGACACCTGCTCTGGGCCTGCAGGCTGACTTCTGTGTTTTACACCCACCTAACTGCCTTGCCCGTTGGCCTCCAACTGGACTGGTCTTGGGGGACATGGGCAGGAGATCAGAGCTTGGGGTATGTATGCCCTCCACTCCTCCCCTGCAGGGTGTCCGGTGATGGTCCCTCCCCATACCCTGTCAGGCCCAGGGGACAGTAAGGAGTGAAGGCTCCCTGGGGTACTAGCTCTGGGGTGCTCCACTATCACTGCCGGTGTCCCTGTGGCTTACCCGCACTCTGGACACGGCCCCTCACATTCTCCTCAACCATCACACTGAGCGTCTTCCCCAGGCCCAGCCCGCTACCTAGCGATAGCATACTTAGTATATCCCAGGCTCTTCTCTAACTTTATATCCATTAAGTCATTCAGTCATCACAACTCTATGAGGTAGACAGCAGCATTGCCCAGTTTACAAATGAGAAAACTGAGGCACAGAGAAGTCAATTACTTGCCCAAGTTCACGCCATAGTTAGTGCAGCAGGACCAGCATTCAAACCCAGGCAGCGGAGCTCCTGACACTGTTCTGACTTAGGACAGGTAAGGGGACAGGGAAGGGTGTGTGCCTAGTTTTGCTCCTGGGAGTACCATGTACATAGGCTTCTGAAGTCTGGAATGCAGTTTGGAAACAGATGCCCCAGGTCCCTCTGAGGATGTCTCTCAGCCGTGGTTCTGCCGCATCACTGCAGCTTAGCCACATCCTCTCTGCCCGTCCTGTCACCCACACCCCGCTTCTGCCTGGTCTTCTCCCACCCTCGTTGCTCCTGCCCAGTGCCTTTAACCTGCACCCTCCACCCTGCCACTGACCCAGCGTGCCCTAGAGAGGGTCTGCTTGACAGCCAACCACCAGTCAGTCTGCCCCACTCTGAAAGTCACTGCCCTGGCCCTGCTTCAGGAGCCACATGGTTGCCACAAGGAGATGGGGGTCAGTGGAAAGACAGCAAGAGCCCCACTGCAGGACTGCTTCAAGGCGAAGAAAACAAGAACATACAGGAGCGGAAGCTTGAACAGCTGCTCTGAGGTAGAGATGCAGGCATTCTTTTGGGGGGCAAGGTGAAGGGTAGACATTCTCACTCCTCCCAACTGACCCAGAGACCCTGGTTCCATCCTGGCTTTCCCCAAGAGCAAGAAACTGATGCAAAATAACTCCGACCCAGTTCTGCGAGGCTGGGTGAGACCAGACACATGTCTCAGGAGCATCCACAGCACACTGGGGCCTCAGGCCTGTCCCAAGTCCATCTCTGCAGACATCCACCCCTGCTCAGCAGCTGCAGCTGGGCAGGGGCACAGGGACAGGCTACCTGGAAGAGGACAGAACCAGGCCAGCAACATGTGAAGCCCCTTTTCCAACCCCTGGGAGAGTGGCAAGTACCCAGATTCTGACAGGCTCCTCTGTGCACATTCCTTAGGCACCCTCCACTCCATTTCCCTGAACTTCCCAGTTTCCAAACACACCATGCTCATGACTGTCTGTCTCTGGCCCAGCCCCTCCCACAGTCCAGAGAGTCTTTCTCCCCTTGCTTCCAGCAAATTACCTTCCACTTGAGGAAACCTTCCCAGATACCGGTTGATCACTTGTCCTGTCGCCTGAGTCCCCCCTTCTTAGTTCATTAGAATGGCCTTTACCATGTCCCACTGCCAGTTCTTAGCTGTCTTCCTTCTCCATTAAACCATGAGCTCCTGAAGAGCAAGGGCTGGGTCTGATTCCCTCTTCTATTCCAGTGCCCTACCCTAGACCAGGGACATACTAGATGGTCCCCAAGTGAGTATTAACAAATGCGCAGCTGAAGAGTACAGGACGTAATCAGAATAGGACGGCGACTGTTGTTTCCCCAGCAAGCAGAGCCTGAGAAGAGGCTTAGACAAAGTATATATGGGAAAGTGACACCAAGGGATGGGGGGGGGATGCTGGGGAGAGGGGAAGAGGCAAGAAGGGAAAGCTATCGTGAGGGTGTGTCTTCGGACGGTCACAGCTGTGGACATCTGCAGCTCAAGGCTGCTGAGGACTCTGAGGAACGGTGCAGAAGGACCTCAGAACTGCCTGCCTCTCAGACAAAAGAGGGGCGTCTTCACCCTCTAGTCCCCACGCTTCCCCATTCATCAACTGTTGCCCACAGCATGCTAAGTCCCTTGCACGTCCAAAAGGCAACCAGGAGACAAGTGTGCCCTCTGTCCCACACCACAGGGTCAGGGGGATGTCAGGCAGAAAGTGAGCCATTCTCCACACAGCTGAAGCAATAGGTGACAGCCACATGTGCATGAAGCTGGTTGCCACAGCAGTGGCTAGAGGGGTAGCTGGGCTGAGAGGAGGTAAAGCAGGCACATGGGTTTAAGGAAAAAAAGATAGGTTAAAGCGGGGAGAAGGTTATATCACAGGGGGCCCTGAATATCAGCCCCAAGCATTACAGCCTTTTCATAGGCCACCAAGAGCCACTGCACATTTCTGGGCAGTGCAGTACTGTAAATGTCAGCACCAGGGAGTGGCTTGAATTCGCTCTAGTCCCCTCCGTCCATAAACAACCAGCCCTTCCCCAAGACTTCTCCAAACAAACACACAACCTTGGTAGAAGCCAGTGCAAGTCCTGCGCTCCCACTGCCATCAATCAACAGCCACGCCTCAGCCCCTCTAGGTAGAAATACGGAGCCCCATTTCATATTCTCCCATGTCTGCTGCTGTCTCTATCCTCCCATGAAGAACTCCCTATAAATATATAAAAATGTATTTACATTTTGAAATGTTTAGTTCTTCCTTGTGTATATCTTTAAGATCTAAAGAAAAAGGAACTTGGGAAACTTTGAGAAAGAAACCAAGAGGGACTTAACTTCTTGCAACCCATAAGGGGTCTTCAGAAAATGGGGAGCAGTCAATTCCACTCCAATTTCCAAAAATGCTTAGCAACACGATGGGTGAAAGAAAGAAACAAACACACAAAGCAAAAAGCACCTTCAAGCGAGGCCCCTGGAGAGGACGTGGGGCACAGTGTCATGACTCCCTGGTCACAGGCAGTGGCGGCTGCTTGGGCAGCACCGACACCTGCTCCGCAGTGTCCCCTGCTCCGACCGTGTGGCACGTCGTCACCCTACCTCCTGGCGCTGGGGGCACAGGTATGGGAATATCCTCCAGGGTTGTTTTCTTTGTCTTTTGGAGCTAACATAGGTTTTCCTGAACAGTTCAAGGTTAAAGGCAAGGTGACAGATTAAGATTTACCCTCTTGTATGAGTCATAGCCCGGAACACCAATCGCAGAGTTGGCCAAATGTTGTGAGTAGTGACGACACTACTGAGACAAGGTTATGGCATTCTGGCGTGATGTTCACTTAACACTGTTCATCTGATCAAGGGCACTGTCACTGTCGGTGACAGTGTATAAATTACCCATCACCCCGAAAGTCAGCTTCTGGGAATGTATCCTAAGGAGTGAATAAAGAATGTGGGGTAAGAGTTAGTTACGAGGATATTAACTGCTGCTCTTTAAGGAGCAAAAATTTAGAGACAGTGTAAGTTCCCAAAAGAGGAGGATTAAGGATGATACCATCATACAGTGGAATACTATATTCCACACTGCCATTAATATAAACACCACATATAATATATATTTTATTATATATACATATAAATGGAATTGTGGGTATTTTAGATGTTCTTTTGCTTGCTTTCTTCATTATGAGTAGGAACTGCTTTTGTAATACAGCAAAAATAATGAAAGAGTAGTCCCGCTGAGAGGATTCCCATCTGCCCGAAGTGATCATAATTTACTCCTTTTTCCAGCTTCAGCTCAAGGAACAGATTAATTTTCCCAGCTTTACCAGGACATGCCACATACTGCAAACTTCTGAGGACACAGTTGTGCAGTGGGGTACAGTCCCTGGCCTTTAGGAAATCACCTCAAGTGGTACACATAGACCTTAACGGAAACTCACCAGCAATCTCAGGGAAGCCTAGCACGTGACGCACAGCTGAGTCTCCAAGAACCAGATACTATGTTAAAGTGCTTGGAAAGGCAACGCTACACTAACACAGGCTCCCAAGCACCGCCCATTACAGGCACAACTCACAGGAAAAGCTGAGCTCAGTTGTTACAGAACTGGTATAGCGTGTGCCGCACCGGAGGGAGTGGTCACAGATAGGCCCTCTCTGTAGCAAGCTCTCTTGTATAGCTAGAATCTGAATAATGCAGCCATCCTTCCAAAAGCACCCAGTGATAGAATAATAATATTTCTCTCCTGTAGAATAATACTAAAAAACACTATTTTAAAGGAAGACATTTCACTTTCCTTGATACTATTTTACAGCTTCTCAAATTTTCAGGTGTGTCGATTTTACGGTAATCACAATTGCATGTTGCCCCCTAGTGCTCATCTGTATTATCGCACCCTGTTGTAACGGTAAGGTTGGAGTGGAGGAGGCAGGTCTGTCGGAGCCCCTCTATTTCCCAGAAGGGGAAAAATAAATGCATTGAATATGTGATAGAACTTTCAAAACTACTCAAATAGTCACTTAAATTACAAAGCATAAGCTATGGCTCTATTTTTCTATAACAATATAAAATTTGCTAACTTGTGTTCAGCATAATAATAGGTAATATTTAATGTACAATTACCATGAGTGAGGCACAATGCTAAGTGCATTGCATATATTAACACATTTAATCCTCACAACAATCCGAAGAGGGGAGAACTATTCATTGGTCTGAGCTTGTGCAGTGCCTCACAATTCAAAAGAGGGGATAGATATACAATGTTGCATCGAAACAAAGCAAAGGAGACTGCGCCCTGCAGACAGAGGAACAGTGAAATGAAGGACCACACTCCAGGTCAGTGCTCGCTGGTGTTGCCACATTAGTTGTTGTTGTATCTGGGTGAGGTGCTTTTAGGTTACCCGTAAAATTAAGCCTTTTTTTAAAACTTTTTTATTGAGATATAACTTACATATACAATTCACCCACTGGAAGGGTTCAATGGTTGTTAGTAGGTTCACAGAGATGTGTAACAACATCCCAACCAATTTGAGGTCATTTTTGTCATCCTGAAAGGAAACTGTGTGCCCATTAGCAGTGCCTCCTCGTCTCCCCAAAGTTCAATGGTCCTAGACGACCACTGACCCACTGTCTCCATAGACTTGCCTCCTCTGTCTCCATAGATTTACTCTACAGCTCATAAAAATGGAATCACACGGTACATGGTCCTTCACGACTGGCTTCTTTAACTCAGTGCCTTTTCAAGGTCCATCCACATGGTAGCATGCTTCATTTCTTTTTATTGCCAAATAATAGTTCATTGTATGAATATACCACATTTTAATTATCCATGTATCATCTTATGAACATTTGGGTATTTCCGCTATTTGACTTATGAATAGTGCTGACATGGACATTTATGTATAAGTTTTTGTGTGGACATATATTTTCATTTCTCTTGGGTATATTCCTAGGAGTGGAATTGCTGGGTCACGTGGTGATTCCATGATTAACATCAAGAACCTGCCAGGCTGTTTTCCGAAGTGGCTGCACCATTTTACATTCCCAACAGCAGTATATGAGTGTTCCAATTTGCCCACATTCTTCCCAACACATGTCTTAGTGAGTGTGACATAGTATCTCCTATGGTTCTGTTTTGTATGTATCTGGTGAGTAATGATGTTGAAGGTATAAAAGCACTTACTTTTGATACTGGTGACATAGGAGCTGCACAGCCCAAAGTAAAATAATCTAGTCTTACTTTTATTAACCATCTCTAGGCCACACTGGAAGAGCTGTCTTGGACCACACATTAAATACATTGTGACACATAATCACACAAAAAATCTTGTAACGTTTTCAGTAAATTCATGACTTTGTGTTGGGCTGCACGCAGCCCTGGAGCCTAAACATATCAGATAAAACAACAATAAACCACCAGAAGAGATGGAGTTGAAAGTTCTGAAGATGGCAAGTCATTACTCATTCATTTATTTGAGCCCCCGTTAGATGCAAAAGATTGTTCTTGGTTCTGGGAGAAAGGTGGACAGACACACAGGGGCAGTTTCTGCCCTCACAGAGCTTAATATTCTGTTAGGGGACACTGGTTAAGCAACTACTTACACAACAAAATAATTACTGTCATGAAAAACTGTGAAAGAGAAGTAGTGGAGGCTCTGAGGCCTACCACAGAGGGTCATGAGTGAGGGCCCAAGGAAGGCCTTGGAAGGGTGGTGCAGTACCAGAACAGGGGGCGGTGGCATGAAGTGGTGGGGGTGATGGGGATGGGGTGCTGAGCAGGTGTGAGGGACTGAGAGTTGGTGGGTGTGGCTGCAGTGTGGACACCCAGGAAAGGAGACTGGAGACACAAGCCAGGTGTTACAATTGGTGTTGGGGATTTTGACCTTTCCCCAAGAACAATAAGAAGCCATTGTTGAAAGGGGTTTAAATTTTAAAAGCTGGGTGATAGGATTGTATTGGCACTTTTAAATGATCACTCTGGCTGCAGTGTGAAGAATGCAGTGGGCAGAATGCAATTTGAAACTCAAGGGAAGGTAAGCAGACCTTCCAGGAAGCAATTTTAACTATGGCAGGCCAGAGGTAAAGGTAACCCAATTCTAGGGTTGGGAGAAATTTTGAGGAAACTTGGCGAATGATGCGATTGGGGGGTTAGGAAATGGAAGATGTCAAGGCTGACCCTGCAAATAGATAACAGCGGCATAAGCTTACTAATGGGAACCCCAGGGAAGGAACAAGTCGGGGACAGGGAACAGCGTGACTTCATTCCTGAGGACGTAAATTTGGGTCCAAACATCAGGTGGAGCGTGGAGTGGGCAGTTTGATGTACAAGTTGGGAACTCAGAGGCACACTCCAAGCTGGAGGCACACATGCGGGATGCCCAGGGTGCAGACGGCAAATGCAACACTGTGTGGACATGAGCTTATTTGTGGGGAAGCTATGGAACTAGAAGAGAAGGAAGCCCAGGGGCGAGGCATGAGTCACGACAATATTGGAAGGTCGCAGAGAAGAGAACTGGCCAGCCGAAGAAGCTGAGGAGAGAGTGAAGGGGTAAGATGAGAACTGGGAAGGTATTCAAGTCAAGAGACAAAAGAGTTTAGAGGACGGAGTGATCAGCGTGATTGGAAACTGCCAAGAGGCGTACAACACTGGACAACACTGTAACAACAGAGGGGTGACATCGGTGACCCTAGGGAAGGGGCTCTGAACAGGCCTGCCAAAGAGGCAACTCTGGCATGTGAGTTATTTTGAGCTGAAGGCACTTGAAACACCACAGGCTCACAAGAAACATTTACCTGTTCCTCAAAGAATTTAAGCTTGGGACCTTACCTGTGATAAGAATTATTACCAGAGATAACTTTTTCTGACTTTTCTGTAGGGCAAGGACATTACTGAACATCTGCTCTTCTCAACATCCTTGTGAGGCGCCTTACCTTTCTCATCCTTAGTGCAGAAAGCCACATGTACCTCATTTTAACTTTTTGTCTCTGATCCTCTTGTGCCTTTGGCTCTCTGACTCTTTCCTGTGTGTGGGGTCCCTGTACATGTACATGCAATTAAACTGGGTCATTTTCCCTTCCTAATCAGTGTCAGGTTTGGTTTGATTACTAGACCAGCCAGAAGAACCCAGAGAGGAAGAGAAAAGTTTCTTCCTCCCCCACATGTGGTTGAGGGGTAGGGGCCGAGGTCAGGCTGGAGCGAGGGGAAGTGAGGAGACAGACGCTGTGAGCAGGCAACCCCTTCAAGAACTGTGGAGGTAAAGGGCAAGGTCAGGGGCGGGGAGTAGCTGCAAGGTGTGTGGTCCAGGGGTGGTTGAGTGTAAGATGGCAAGATGAGGTGAGTTTAAACGTGGATGAGAAGGACCCTCCATACTGGCAGAGACAAGAGGATGAAGACACAAGGACCTATAAATCCAAGTGACAGAAAGCTTGGCTTCCAGGGTCAGACCACTTGAGTTCAACTCTTGCTCCTCGGCCTGCTACCCGCCTGGCTTTGGGTAGGATAACTGGCCTCCCTATGCCCCAGTTGCTTCTACTGTAAAATGAAGAAAAATGAGACTACTGTGAGGAGGGATAAGGAGATAATGTATGGAAGAGGCTGAGGCTTGGATAAAGCCATTTAACAATGCAG